GGATCTGGAGAGTTGTCCCTATTCTGTGGGCACTAATCCCATTCCTGATAGTGCCATCCTTATCGTATGTCACTTCTCAAAGGTCCCGTCTTCTGATGTCACATCACAGGGTGAGTTAGGAGTTCACAGGTGACTTGAAGGAGAACACAGGCATCTATCGGTAGCATCAGGCCCTCCAGAGAAAGCTTCTGGGGACAAAGAGGTGTCTCCTGGCATAAGATCTCACATTTATGCTTTCTTGAGTCATCTACTCAATATATTTCTCAAAGTATGTATCATGTATATGTGTGTGTGTATATGTGTTTATGTGTGTATATCTCTCTGTGTGTGTAAGGATGTCATGCCTGGGTGTTTTGCTTGTGCATTTTCAATGGGCAGCAGTGGAATCTCCACTCTCCTCTTATACCTCTGACAAAACTAAGCCTTGCTTTTTTAATTCTTCAGGCACATGAGAGAGTTAAACTGAGTTCCAAAATGGAGTCCTTTCCTTGAGCGTCACAGACCTACGAGGGCCTAGTGTAGGCCTGATGGTGACTAGGGTCATGTGCTCCAGGGGGTGGAGCAAGCGGCCAGCGAGTTAAGAACCTTTCCTCTGTCCTGGAAGAGAGCAAATACAGATGTACACCTCTTCTTTACCAGGTTAATTTTGGCCTTATGTTAGCTTCATGCGACGAGGAGCTATTGTCTTGCAGTTTTGGGGCGCAGCGCTCTGGGTGGTGCTCCACTCTCAGTCCTTCCCGCCTCTTCCAGCCCTGGTGGCCTTCAGGAGTCTGTGGTGTCCTTGACTGGAAGACTCAATACCCCACCCAGTCTGCCTGTGTTTTTACATGACCCTCTCCCCTTGTCTCTTTCCTCTGCCTATAAGGGCATCTACCACAGTGCATTTGACTTCGCATCTGCAAAGGCCTTGTCTGCCTCTCTGGCAACATTCTGAGGAACTTACTGTCAAGACTTTAACTTTTTCTCCTGCTTTCCCTCCTCCTCCTGCTCCTCCTACTCTTGTTCTTCCTCCTTTTCCTCTGGGAGATAGAGGCCATTCTGTAAATAAGAGCTGAATGGGGGCCTCCTTAGGTTCTGGCTTATTTTGGCCATAGGCTGGCAGCCAGGTGGTTCCCTGCTATTCCTGCTTTGGTTCCTCAGAGGTTCTAATGGCATCTTCACAGAAAGGGCTGTGGTTCAGGGCCCCATGGGAAGAGTTAGAATTGTGGTTCCTGGGCTCAGGTGGGACCTGCCCCAGGCAGTGCATGGATTAGCTCCCACTCATAACATGTACCTTGTCTCTGTCCCTCATGGTTGATGCTTGGGACACTAGGGCCTCGAAAGCCAGTGAGCAGCTTCATATTCCAGCACTCTGTGTCCCACTCCAGGTAGGTTCAGGCAGGTCTTAGCTGCCAGCATCAGCATCCATTCTGTGAAGGTAGGCCAACAAGTCTGTTCTGGAGGGCTGCCAGGATATGGCATGCTGATAAACCTCAGAGGCCTGAGCCTGGCTTCAGGGGGCTTGCACTTGCCATTGCTATTGGAAGCACCCTGCAGATTGACAGATCTCTCTACCCTCCCCCTTCTCAGCTTCTCTCCTGCTGCCATGGTGAAGGCAGCTGGTCACAGTGTCCCACCTCCTCGTGTTGCCAGGGGCCAAGGAGCTTAGACCAGAGCACACAGGACAATCTGCCCATGTCAGCCATGATGAACTGGGAGCTGTCTGTGACACTAATGTCATATAGTCTTTAAAGATTTTTTTCAGTTGGTATTTATTGAGAACCAGCTCTGTCTGAGCCCTATACCTGCTCTTTTCCTGCTTGCCCTTGCTCTGCTTCTTTCTGACCACACAAGTATCTGCCTTCTGCTTTGATGTCTGAGATTATATAATAGATGTAATAGATATCAATGCTGTGTGTTGCTGTTAGTTTAAAGGCATTGTCTAATGATGTTCATTAGTAACCCTATAATTATTACAGTGGTATTATCTTACCTGCTATTAGAATCAGTAAAGGACACAGACACCTGATAGATTATAGAATAGCCTTATCTTACTTGGGGCAGGGCAGGTGTTAACCCTCTAAGCTACCTCCAACCCTTCCCCAGGCTACCTCCCATCCATAATTCCCATAAATACTTGCTTCTCTCATCTGGGCTGTTTCCTCCATCCATGCCGGCCATGTGCTTCTCTCTTTGCTAACCCATGGCTGCTCTTTCCTTCCTTCCTCCTCCTCTTCCTGTTTCTCTCTCCAGTGATCCTTCCATCCTCAAAGTCTGCAAACTTTGGCCATACATACCTCCTTCTGCCCTGCCCAGGTATAGGCCTTTTAATCAGCGAATCAGGGATAATTGGGGAACATTCCTTTTCATCACATGGTTACAGGAGATAGTTCAACATTAAAACCATACCCATGGGAGGGTGGTAACCAGATCTCAAGGAACTAAAATCGGAATCTGAAAACACAGATGGACCTTCCTCCAACAGCTGTGCAATCTTTATACAGATAGGTTCTGCATATGAGCAAATATGCAGTATTTCTCTTTATTACTTTTCTTCTTTCCCATCTCTCATTTTTCCCTTTAGGGCCCTTTTGCCCTTCCTCCTACTATATAGTCTCCCTTGTGTGTGTATGTGTGTATGTGTGTTTGAAATCCAGATCCTGCATATGAGAGAAAACATAGCATGCTTGTCTTTCTGAGTCTGGTTTATTTCACTTAACATGATGCTCTCACGTGTTCATTTTTTTTCTTCAAGTAACACATTTTTGTTCCTCTGTATGGCTGAATAAAATTCCATTGCGTATGTGTACCACATTTTCTACTTTTAAATACTTCTTATGTGCATGTGTATGTTGAGTCATGTGAACCATGTACACATGTGGGAGCCTGCAGAGGCCAGAGGAAGGCGCAGGAGCCCCAGAAGTAGAGTTACAGGTGGTGTGAAGGGCTGTGTGGGGGCTGGAAGCAGAACCCAAGCACTCTTACAGCACAGTAAGTATGCCTTACCACTGGTCCATCTCTCTTGCCCCGTACCATGTTTATCACCCTTTCATGGGTTGATGCGTATGTAAACTACATCCTTGTTCTGGATTGCTGTGAATCCCTGTTATTGCACAACAGGGATGTGCTGGTATTTTTGTCATGTGCTGGCTTTGAGTCCTTTGGGCGTGTTCGCAGGAGTGGTATAGCTGGGTCAGATGCTATGCCTGTTTTTAGTTTTTGTGAAGAACTTCTGCACCAATTTCCATCGTGGCCACACTAGTTTAAACTCCCAGTGCAAATGTAGAAGGGCCTTACAATTACATATTCTTTTTTTCTTTTTGTTTTCTGTTTGGTTTTTGTGTTTTGAGAGGGGGTTCCTCTGTGTAGCCTTGTTGACCTGGAACTTGCTCTGTAAACCAGGCCAGCCTTCAATGCCAGAGATTTCCCTCCTCCCCTTCTCCCCCCTCCTGCACCCCCAAGACCTCCAGAATGCTGGGATTAAAGGTGTGTGCACTATCACCACCCAGCTTGTATATTCTTGATATTTGATTAGTAATCTCCAAAATCAACCATCACCCACCCCTCAGATGAAGTACACTGGTCTGCATGGCTGCCATTTAAAACACCCATTTTGCCCAGGGCCACCTCCTCATTGGATGGTGGCACACCCACCCAGTTGTTTAGGATTGGACTATGGAATTGTCTTGGTCCCGTGTTCCTCTTACACACCCCAGGTTCATCCACAAAGAAAATGTACCCTTATGAGATACCAGAATCCACACATATCTCTTACCCATGGTCCCACCTTGGACCACTGTTACCTGCTCAGCTTCTATAGCACATTCCTCTCTGATTTCCTAGAGCCAATTTCTTCCCTGAGTCCTAATGATATAAGAGAGAGCCCACCTCTGACACTCTGAATGATACTCTGCTATACTTGCAGACAGGAGCCTAGCATAACTGTCATCTGAGAGGCTTCACCCAGCAGCTGATGGAAACAGATACAGAGACCCACAGTCAAACATTAGATGGAGTTTTGGGAGTCTTGTGGAGGGGGGGGGGAAGGACTGAAAGAGCTAGAGAGGTCAAGGACACCACAAGAAAACCTACAGGAATCAACTAACTTGGGCCTGTAGAGACTGAACCACCAACCAAAGAGTTTTCGTGGGATGCACCTAGGCTTCCTACACATGTAATAGATACACAGCTTGGTACTCTAACAAAAGGAGCAGGGGCTGCCTCTGGCTCTGTTACCTGCCTTTGGACAGCCTTGTCTAGCCTCAATAGAAGATGTGCCCAGTCCTACTACAACTTGATATGCCAAGGAGGGTTGATATCTATGGGAGGTCTTCCCTTTTCTGAGGAGGGGGGATAAGGGGAAAGGAAGGGCTGGGAGGAAGGGAGGGAGGGGAAGCTCTGCTGGAAATGTAAAGTAAATAAATTAATGAAAACAAACAAAAAGTGTTCTAGGGCTCTTGGCTGCCCCGTGGACTTGGGTGCCCCTCTCTCAGTTCACTCTGCCCCAGGCTCTGGGCCACTTGGAATAGCCTGATGGTCATGCCCAGGTCTGGCTTTGCTCCCGGTGTTTTTCTGCTCGAGCTGTTTCCCAGTCTCGTCCTACTGCCTTGGGCTTGTGTTTTCTTGCCTCCTCTGAATGTGGCTCTAAACACTGCCTGTGAGTCTGCTCTAATGCTGGATTCCACCTCTCACACCCTGTCTTCCCCACACAGCTGTCTTCTACATATGATGCCAGCAGTGTGGGTATACTTTCTCTCCCACCAGAGGGAAACATCCCTGGGGGCAGAGTCAATGTGTAGCCATTTGCCAATGACCTTACACATTGGGGATGAACTCTGATCACTGGCAAACAAATAAGTGGTTGACCAAAAAGCTGAAAATGTTGAAAACTGGGGACGAGTCCCCGTCGCCTCTCATCCAGCCTCCTGGAGGATGGCCCTTCCTCTCAGCGTCCCCAGAGCTTCCTGCTGCTGCTTGGGCTGTGTGCCTCTGACCCACTTACTTCCCCTCTTCATTTCTAGACCGGCCTTATTGTTGCGTGCTACCATGGCTTTGTGGATGCTGTGGTGGCCTTAGCAGAGTGCCCCCACATTGACGTCAACTGGCAGGACAGCGAAGGGAACACGGCCCTCATCACTGCTGCGCAGGCAGGTAAGAGCTGGCCTTGTTCTCCCCCACAGGGTGCTGCTGCTGGCCAGCGTGGGCTCCTGCGACTCCTGAATGTGGGCCACAAAGGTGAAAGTGGATCTGCTAGTAGCAGGTACCCAGAGGGGCCGGCTGGCATGCAAAGGGCACATTCCCTCCGTGATCTTGGACCAACACTTTACCCACTTGGGCAGGATTCAGAATGGAGCTGTCACCAGCTCGTGTCTCCAGCGTAGAGCTGCCTCAGGAAGGCAGGCTTGCCTGCCACCCCAGAGCACTGACACCCTCTAAGACCAGCAGGCATGGTGCTGGTGGGCTAGAGTCACAGTCTCACGCTCCACTGACAGTTGTGTAATTAGACACATTGACAAGGTGACCTGCACTTTACCTACAAAGAAATGCCGGGGATAGCTCTCTGTGAGCTGCAGAGGATTTGCGGAAAGGAGCGAGGAGAAATTAATAAGAAAGAGCCCTGTAAATGTGAATCCAAGTACATGTCAGGGTCATCTCTGGAAGCTAATACATACACTGCCATGACCAAGTGCACTGTGGCTCTGTGGATTTGCAGTACATGTCAGGGTCATCTCTGGAAGCTAATACATACACTACCATGACCAAGTGCACTGTGGCTCTGTGGATTTGCAGTACATTCAGAGTGGGGGTAGCTCAGTCGATAGAGTGCTTGCCCTGTGTGCTTAGCGCCCTGGGTTCGATCCCCCAGCACTGCACAAGCCAGGTGTGCTCTCAGCTGTGCTTACCTGTGATGTCAGCACCCAGGAGCTGGATGCACAGGGGCCAGAAGCTCGAGATCATGAGCTCACACGTGGCTGTATCTGGAGTTAGAGGCCAGCTTAGGAAACGTGAGAGTCAGTCTCCAAACATTCCACTCCAACACTTTCACATAATTGCTTACTCTGTCTCAAGCAGTTGTGTAACTGATGTTCCCTATGTTTCTGGCCTCTGTAAGTAAGTCATCTCTTTGTAACTATCCTGAGAGTCCCCATTTGTAGATCCCACATCTGTAGATCCCACGTGGATGAAAAAATACACTCTTGTAATCAGATCTGGAATAGGGGCTATAGATAGCTCAGTGGCAAGTTGCTTGCTAGCCAAGCAGAAGACCCTGGATTTGGTCCGAGTCAAGCAAATAGCAGCAAAAGTAGTGTGTCAACACTAAACAAATAGTGTGTCACTCAAACAGAAACAGGGTGTCAGCACTAAAACACATACAGACATTTTTTTTAACCAGGTCTCAGCCAGGTGTGTGAGCATACCTCTGCTGTAGTTTAATTTCTGTTGTTCTGATAAAATACCCAACAAGAGGCAGCTTAGAGAAGAAAGGGTTTGTTTCAGTTCTCAATTCTGAGTTACAATGTATCATATCCAGAGGCCACAAGAATTTAACACAACCATGGGTCACAGGCAGATAGAATGATGTATACCTTATGCTAGTCAGTTCAGTGTATCTACTTTTATGCGATCTAGGACCCACATTCAGGGAATGGCGCCACTCAGTGGATGGGGTCTTCCTGTATCAATCAACATAATCAGAACCACCTCCCGCCTTGCCCACAGGCTAGCCTGAGCTAGACAATCCCTCACTGAGACTTTTCTACCAGGCAGTTATAGATTGTGTCGAGTTGACAGTTCAAATTAACCATTATAGGAGCAGTGATAGGTGTTTGGTGATCACAGCCATCACACAGGCTATCCTGTGGGGCCCAGCACTGGGTCTGGGGTCAGGGGCTCAGAAGTGAGGGGCTACCCAGCCATGAGTCATTCACCAGCTCACAGGACAGAGAGATTGACACAGAACCTAGCACTGGCTGCTTAAGCATTGGGGAAAAAGGTGTGCTGGTGTCTGGAATGGGAACATTTCATCTGGCCTGGGCTCAAAACACATGGGCTTGGCCAGTGGGCAGGGAAGCCAGAGGCAGGTCTCTCAGCTAAAGTGTCTCAAAGCCCAGTTGGAGCAATAGGGATAAGGGAGGGGATGACGTAGATGGTGTGATATTAGAGGACAAGAGAGTTCTATAGAAAGTTCTATAGGAAGGTAGGGGCCGGGCCAGTCAGTGTCCAGCAGGGTGATTCCAGGGGACATGATGCAGAGAGGGTGGGTAGAGGCTGAGAGCTGTATGCCAGGAAGACAGCTATAGTGTGGTGCTGTGGGTGAAGGATGAGGTAGAAGCCAAGGCTTTTGGGTGTGTCTGGTCAGGGAATGATGATACCAACTGTGAAACAAGTCAAAAAGTAAGAAGCAAGGAGCTGCAGAAGCATTGATTCTGTTTGAAATGCTGGGAGACATCAGTGAGGAGGTCCCAGTGATTGGTGAAGGGCACAGATCCTGAATGGGGTTAGCAATAGTGAGGCCATGGACATGGGCAAGATCGCCAACAGTGGGAGGATGTGGAGAATGTTGACTTGCATATTAATATTAGTGTTCAATGCCTGTGGGGTACTTTCTGAATTCCTGACTATTTAAAATGCCTCTGGTTTATATATGAGCAACAACTTGATTGAGTATAATAATATTGGTTGCCTGCCCTCCCTCCTCTCCCACCCTCCTTCCCACCCTCTCTCCTCTTTGCTCTCATCCCTCCCCAGTGTTGGAGGGTGTAGTTGGGGTCCCACCTGCTTTTTGCATTTAGCTCACACCTTCATGCTTGACATTGGAAACAAAGAAACAGTTCCCAGCACTCACATGGCATCTTGTAACTGTCCTTAACTACTGTTCTAGAAGATCTGGCTCCCTCATGTGGCCTCTGTAGGCACCAGGGATGCATGCAGTGGGTATACATATACACAGACAGACATAAAATAAAAGTGATAAATAAATCTTTAAAAAACTCTACAAAAGCTAGCTGCCACATCTCAGCTCCTCCGTGTGCTTGCTTGGGACTCCTCTTGATGTGTTTTTTTACTTCAGGAAACAGCTTCCAGCTGCTCCTGGAACTCCCCCAACCTCCCCACCCCATCTGCCTCTTTTGTTTTCAGCCCTCTAGCGTTTGCTCTCACCTGTGGAGTGGAGTGGCCCTTGCGCATTCAATGCACAACCCTGTCTCCTGAGCTGGGAAATGCCTCACAGTCTCCCCCGTTGCTTCCCACAGTTCCCACAGTTTTGATCAGCACTCCTGTGCTGGCAAGTGAGTTTTCCCCAACGCTCTACTGTGAGGCATCCATGAGAGTTTCAAGTACCAAAGACCTGGTGGCAGCTGGCCACTTTGCCTGTCTGTTTCTGTTCGTGCTCACTGCTCATACTAGTTACTTTCCTCACGGTGGCGATGTGACACCTGACAAAAGCAACTTATTTGAGCTCTGGAGTCCGACAGTATGGTCCATCATGGAGGTGGGAGCAGCTTGAGCTATGGTGACAGGGACGTGAGTCCCTGGTCACATTGCCACCACAGTCAGGGACACACAGCTAGGAATGCTGACACTCTACTCACTTTTCATTCGTGTAATGTTTCACGTAATGGCATGATGCTACCCACACTCAGGGTGGGTCTTTTCTCCCCAGTTAAAGCATCCTTATTGATAAAGTCCCTACCTGCTGCAGGGCATGGGTGCCATACTCTGCCCTCTACCTGGGGGTGGGGCTTCTCTCCCAGAGGCCCATCCCTATAGAATCCAGACATCATGGTTCCACTGCCCCTTTCTGTCCTTTCTTCCCCCTTCCCCTCTTTCTACTCTCTTTCTCCCACCCCTCCCCAAGTGTATGCTCCCCTCCCCCTCCCCCTCCCTTGCTGCGCCCAATAAATCTGCATTTATATAATATAGCTTCGTCTTGCCATTAGCTCATTCTGTTTTATTTAATCACTTATAACATAACCAGGGGTGCATCTCCTAGTTGATTCCAAATTCAGTGAAGTCGACAGCAGAGATTAGCAGTCACACTGTCTGAAGGTCAGTCACATACCCCCAACCCCTGCATGCTTCAGCATACATCTAAGACACAGCCACACCTAAGAAATACATCATGGAGACAGTTGGATTATGTACCTCCAAACTGAGATGAAAAGTCCTTATTGTGCCCAATACGTCCGTATAGGCAAGGGCTCTGCAAGAGCTGTATCTCTAGTAGTGACCATAGTGATATCAGCACCACACATTTGAAGACCTATGGTCTGGGGCCATCCGAATGTCCTGCTTCCCACGTGCATGCCCCAGCTCCCGGGACATTGCTGAGGTTCTGCCAAAACCCTGTGTGTTGAGTCCCACTGTCTCCCTGCCCACCTGAGGGGTGCTTCTTTCTATAGGGCCATGGTCATCCTATACTGGGTCTAATTTCCAGAAGACCTGAGAAGGAGGTTCTGGAGCTGTGCTCTGGGCCATGGGACTTGCTCAGTGGCCTGGGGCTTCTCTCATTTCTGCTCTGCTCCCCCATGCCCCAACTCTTCTCTTTCCATGACATAGAGTCTGTGAGGGCTAAAGTAGAGCCCACACTTTGTGTGGGGTGGTTGGTACTTGCTGGACCAAGAGAGGGGGCTTCTCTTCCTACAGCCCTGGGTTAATTGTCAGTGGGATAGCGTGGCTGCCATGTACTGGAGGGTCTGGTTTTCGGGGTGCCATGATCATATCTACTGATTTAGACTGGGTGGAACAGTTGGAGGGTAATGAACTTGGCTGTACCAGGCCCCTTCACAAGGCCTGGTTGCTCTTCCTGTGTGCCCTGTATGTAAGTGTGATGCCCAGTGTTTGGAAAGAAATGTAAGCAATCAAAGGGTGAGTGGGAACAAAGAGTTCTCTCCCAGCTTCCCAGTTCCCAGAAGGCATGTCCAACCTTCTGACATTGCAACATGAAGCTATTGTCCACAAAGTTTACATTCACACTTGAGCCTGGATGTATGGGAGGGGTATAAGAAAATGTAATTAAGGAGGAAGGTTTTTATTGTAGATAAAATGGAGACTAGAAGTATGGAGGCAGGGGTGGGTAAGAGCCTGTCATGGCTACATTAGAGAGAGAAAGAGAGGGAGAGAGAGAGGGAGAATGGGAGCACAAAGGATAG